GCACTCGCCCGTGATGAAGGGATCCAAACTCCTTCTCTGTGAAGCTGCTCCATGACCTTGTTCATAGCAGCAGTTCCAGATGCCTCATACACCAACTGTTTTTGGCGATCACGGTAAACACGAAAACAAACAAGGACACGACCTTAAAATTGGCGTTGCTAAATCCAATTAAGCAAAAAGGTGCAGCGCTCCAAAAACACTTGTGTGAAGCGTCAAGGAGCTACGAAACGAAGAGTTGGGTCTCTCTCACAAGTTTGTCGGTGCTCCTCCAAGAAGTGCTGCAACCACTGCATCAAAGTCGCGGTCACATGCGCTTTGTTCCAGCCAGCGCTGGGCTCCTTTCCCTTGAGGCCGAAGGTCCATGGATCCAGCCGTCGCAAATATTTTGTTTTCCCAAAAGCAGTACAATAGGTATCCCAGTGTTCATTGAGCACAGACAGGCGTTTGTCTACGGAGCTCTCTCGCACAAGGTGTTGTGCCAGTCCGACACATGAAGCCACCCAACTCTTGCCAACGCCAAGGTGGAAGGCGTGCCAAATGTCAATTCGATGAAACCGCTCAAGGCCGCCAGGCGACTCTTCATGCCACAACTGTGCCCACGCAGGCTCCTCATCCCATGGACTTGGGATCGCAGAGCATCTCGCTTCTTTGATGAGCCTCTCTGCAACATTCCTTGCATGACCCAGGATTGGGCATCAATGAACCCTTGCCCTGGATTGGAAATCTGATTTTTCAATATCACTGGGTCACTGGGCAACCGTATACTGAAAACATCTGAAAACCATGCAAGGCTCAAATCTTCCCAAGAACCTTCTCTGGTTCCACACATGCACAAATGGCAAATTCCTGGGGGATTGTCTTTGTGAGTCTTGGCTTCACGAGCACCTTTTGGAGCGCGGCGGTACGATCTGCACAGATTTGCTGATGTTACCTCACTTGACATTGTTGGCTACGCCTATTGGCTTCAGTTTCCCTCCAAAAAATAGAAGCCCCGCAAACCAAATCAACTTGCCCTACCAAGACAGCTGAGGAACTAGGTAGCTCCAATCGCCTTTGTTTCCCAAGATGCATGGAAACACCAGACCTTGCCCTGGCAGTTCAACCCCGTTCTCCTCCGCAGATCTCCAACCCGCCACCACCAGCTGGATAATTTCTTTGAACACGTCCTCATCATACTGGTAGAGTTCCTGGATCGGCTGAAGTGCAATCATCGACGAACAACTTCCAATCGAAGACTGTTGCCTTTATACTGCAAATACAGTAATCCCAGTATAGCTAAAACTCAACCATACTGGAACCACCCAGTCCTTCGGGCAGGCAAACGTCAGGAAACGAGTCTTGAATGAATTCTTCACCAAATTGATGGGAATGCCGCATGAAGCCAACTCCTTGTGCCATTCTGTATCGCTTTTGGTTTTAGAGCTGCCAGCGCCAATCACCCCACAGAATTGGATAATCAAAAAGCCGTTCTTCTTGTATGTTGTGCCCTCATCCCCATGGACCAGTAGTGGCAGGAATTGATAGGGTTGGAGTCGACCTTCAGATTGTCGAATCTTTGTGAAAACAGTGTGGGTCGGGCAGATGCGCTCGTACCTGGACCAAAATTTAGTGAGCACTGTCCTGGCCAGTTCCATATTTGGAATCCCTCCAAGAAGACAATGGAAATCGCCCAGCTGTGCCATCGTTTTCAACATATCTGTAGGGCGTATCCACGGAAAATGGAGATGTTCACCCAGATGGTCAAAATGAAGAGGAACAGGGTAGGTCATCCCAAACGTCTCAAATACCCTGGAGACGCCCTCTTCCTAAGCATTTGGATGGTTTTCATGCTATAAAAGTGCATGAGGACATCCCAACATAAAGCAATTGGTTTTCTTGGGAAACAAAATCCACATTCAATGATGCTAGGTAAAAAAACAAGGGTCAGCTTTGTTGTCGGCCACTGTGTGCAATGCCTTCAGAACTGGACACGGCACTGCGCCGTGACAGCCTGTTGTCTCAGCATCCATGTAGTCATACATGTCAGCTTTGGCTGACCGCACGATCTCAGCAGATGCCTCCTTACAGGTTTTCAGTTCATGTTGGAGGTGGAACATCGCAAAAAGAACATCCAATGCTATACGACTATAAAGCATCAGGAGATGTGGTCAATGCCAAGCATGGTAGCCAAAGAAACTGCATAGGCCCTCCACATCCATGACTTTTTACATGCATGTTCTTTAATGGGAGGGTTTTTATCCGAGCGGTCGGGCAATGCTTCGTTGCCGAGCGGCCCCGCGGCCATATTTCCAGGCGAGATGTCGAGCTTTCCTGGATGGACCTGGCACAAATAAGTGGTCTGCATGCACAGCCCCCTCCAGCCCTAGGGGGTTTGAGGTTTCAAGAAGAAGGGCATGGCATTCTCATCACACTCGTGCGAAATGAACTGAGAGGGAGCACGTGTTTTTCTGGTTTCGATCAACCGTGCCATAGCTCCCCAACATAGCACGTGTTTATGGGAACACGCGCTTAAAAGCACAACTCGAGCTCTATATATGAAAGCAAAAAACTGCTTTCGATCCCAAATATGTTGCATACAGGTTTTCCCGCATGCCATCACATGATGACCAGCGAATCCTTTCAGGGCTTGGACTTCTTGGAGCGGCGCTTCCGGCCAGCAGGTTCTTCTGCCTGGGCCTCGGCTTCCTGCTCATGCGAACGCTTGGCCCGTCCTTTCGCTTTTGGCTTGACTGCCTTGGCTTTGCCTTTGGCAGTAGCCCGAGTAGACTTTCCTCCAGAGGCGCTCTCCGTCGCATCCTTGGTGTCGTCCTTGCCATTTTTCTTTGCCTTACCAGTGCGACCCTTGTTCTTGTTCTTGGAGTTACCCAGCTTCTTGACCTCCTTCTTGATTTGCCTTCAGAGAATGCCCAAATTTTGCTGAAGGATAGAAACAACAGTTCAAAAGCATATATCAGGAAAATTTCCTGAGACTACAAGTGATTGAGTGATCATTTCATGTATGCCCGGGACTTGTACACATCCAAGTGGCTTGTACTCAGCCTCCAAAGACAGAAGCTGCACACACCTTAGGGTTTCGCAAACTCATGGCTTTTGCGCAGCAGTGTCCACAACAGACATATACATGGAAATACAAGTTCTAAACTGGCTGAGGGGCGGCGATTTCACTGCAAGCTTGGATTTGTCAATATCCGCCACCAACCTGAGTTGCGCGCATTTTTGTTGACCTCGTCCATGTATTCATGCACACAAGTCCACCAGTCCACAGTATATAGCTGCAATATGCATGCATGCACTCATTGGTTTGTGCAGTGCGTGGGATGCATGCAGCACCTGTTTTCAAGATTGAAGCTGGCCACCCATCAGTGGTGCATTACTGGCTCTTTGGAAGGATCGAAAGACATAGTACACTAGGAAGGGGCCTCCCAACCCGTCTATCACGGTTTCTCCTCCATCTCGCTCATTCTTGCAACCACTCGTACCTGGGCGCAGTGGATACACAGCATGAATACAAGAAGCAACAACCGATATATGTGCCCAAAACTGTAACAAATTCATGCAGTTTTGTATATCATTGTTGAACAAGTGCAGGTAGGCTACCCATATACCGCTGGATCATCGCGGCTTCAACAAAGCTTGCACTTATCGTCTCTGAAGATGCGTATACCACATTCATGCCCTCCCATTTGTTCCTGTAGTCATGGGAGTACCCATATTTTCTGTTATGCCAACGGCAATGTGCATCGTGAGTGTATCCAATCTTGAAGGTCATGGGCGATTTCCGTGCTAGATGGTCGTCCAACACTCTGAAGCAATGCTTGAGAACATGACCAGCAAGAGCCCCCTTTCTAGGCAGGTCATAAGACAATCTGTTGTTTTCTTCAATCAAGCGAAAGCAGTCAGCAGTTCTTCCCAACGATAATGTGTTTGTATCCAGGAAATCCCGGTAGGTCCCTCGCTTCGCAATTCGTTGAGTACTGCTCCCACCACTCCAGGCTTCGCTGGGCACACATCCTGATGTGGATGAGACCACTGGCCAGCTGCTCAGAGATGACACTGCCTGGCATCGCTGAAAAAAAATTGTTGTGAAGGTGACCCCGCATCTTTTCGACAAAGCTGATACTTTCCTCATGAAATCTATTAGGATGATTCCTTCCTCTTGGGCACAGTGTTTTCGAAGACATCAACAACCCGCAAGACTCAAGACACCTGGCGGTTGTACTGGATGAGCTCATCAAGCCATCCACTGTGGTCATCAATGCCAGCATGCCCGGAATCCATTACCAGCTTCCACGAGGAAAGGTGCGGGCTCACACCCCTAGAGCCCTTGTGTCATATATGAAGAGTATATAGACAGAACCTTTATAATAACAAGCGCAAAAATCAATCACTGCATGCAGTTCTGTTCAATCCCATTCACACACTATAAGGACCGAGGAACTTTTTGAACCTGTCGGACTTGGGATCAGGGTTGTCCATCTTCATGTCCGTCAAGAGCTTTGCAAAGGTGGTGTAGTGGCCATCAAGTGCGGTCCTCACCTGATCTAAACCATTGCGGAGCCTGAGCACAAAGAAGAGATATACGTAGATTTAGGCAGCGTTGAAGGTTACAATGCATGACCTATAGAGCACTGCTATTCTTCATGGCTTTGTTTTTGAGGGGAGGACACTTCATAGCGGCCAGCAGGAGGGGGGAGATCAGACTGCTCAAGATACGTTCCCATCTCCCTGACTAGGTTGATTTTCTCTTGAATGCTCGACATGAACTTCTCGAGGTCGGGCACCACCTATCGAGATCGATGCAGAGAGAGAGGCCAAACACGGCCAAAGGACTTGGGCGGACATTGGTTGACTATCCGTAGAAAACCTTGCCTTCTCCCCAAGCACTTCTGGCGGCGTGGGGTCACCCTCAGACTTCCACAGGTCAAGCTCCAGGTTGCCAGTCTCCGGGGGCTTCTCAGATGTCTTGTCCTCGGCAATAACCATTTTGTGGAGGCTTCCAATCAAAGGTGCGCATGCAAGCATGAATATATAGGGAACCCCACCTCAAGTTCGGTGATATGAGTTTCCCTGGTCATCTCGGATCGTTTGATCAACGATGAGCACTCATCTTCGACAAAGTATTCCAAGACGGAATTGTCATACTTCCAGTTCCTCAGTGCCACATGCTATTGACATATACGCGTGACTATTGCCATGCGTATATACCAAATACACATGGAAGTTGGAAATGCTTGCATATATACCTGAAGCCCTGGCCGTACCAAAGTGTTGGGGAACTTGGAGCAAAAGGCCACAATGGAGGCGATGTCCTTCCTTGCATCAGGTCAGCAATAAGTTTCTAAAATCCCTATAGGTTTGCATGAACAGTTGCACATTCATCACGTTCCCACATGCAAACAAAGAACGCTGAATACCCCTTCTGGGTCATCTTGGCTTCAGTCATCCAAGACCCATGCACTTCTTGCTCTCGCAAGGCCATCCTTTCCCTGACTACTACAACTCGAGTCAGGAATTCTGCCTCCAGGGTGGCCCATATTTGGTTAACACGCACCCTGTATAGTTAACATATGAACATGCAGTTTCATCATACCACCAAGACTGAGTAACTTGTTTTGTCTAAATTTTATTACACAAACCCGGCACCCTAATCTTCTTGAAGTTCTTGCGATCGGCGCCATGTTTTTTGATGGCATCACATAATGCGAGTTCCAACCACTCCCTCCGCTCCATGTTCGCGTAGTCGTCCCGGATCTCCTGATCCACGTAGCATTTACCTGAAGGCTTCACCTCCACCAACCTTCTCAATCTCATGCGCAGGGCGTCATGTCCCAAAACCTGGGCCGATTGCGAAAAGGCTGACTATATGCAGTGTTGGAATTTGGCAACACCGAAAGCAATTAAGAAGATGGGCACAACCCAGATCAAGTTGGGAACTTTTATAGTGATGTTCAAAGGTGTTTTTGGGGAAGATCCATTCTCAAGAAGAGTAACTGCCTTGCCGTCCGGGGTGATAATCGTATCATCCGTGGTCTTGGTTTCCTTCCCCTTCGCCTCATCCACTTCCATACCATTCGTGCGCCCATCCCCACCCTCACTGGCGGCAGGTGTTGGTGGGGCGATTGATGGAGCTGGAGTGTGGCAAGGCGTGGCTGCACGGGATGGATGTACAGTAGCAGGGCTGGGGGTAGTAGTAGACTGGCTCTTCAAACTGGCGTTCTCCTGCTCTAGATTCTGAATTTTGGCAATGGCCAGTTGCAACAGCTCTCGGTCCACATTGTTATTGTTCTCGGGCTCCGTAGCTGCTGCTGCACGAGGGATCGGCGGGTCCTCAGGAGGGATCGGCGGGTCCTGGCGCCAGTGGACAAATTAATGCACGGTTGCTTCTTATTCCTTGACACTATATACAAAAACGGGTGCCATAAAACCCCATATATTTCAATGTTTTTCACACCTGGTTGTGCAAGATGCCGGTGCACGCATGCAAACTTCAAAGACAAAAACCATGCAGTCCTCCCCCCTCGGCTCATCCACTGGTCGTTCAGGTTCCACTGGGGCCAACTCAGCAAAAAAGAAGCACTGCCCATGCAGTGCATATATAGCTGCAAAACTGTTGGAGCGATGGGGGTTGCATGCATGTTTAATCATGCATGATTGTGGAATACGACCAGAAATCCACACGGTGCACAGGTGTGGGCTGCAAAGGAATCCAAGGCAGCTGAGCCACAGCGCCACCTGCCTGTGTCTCCATTGAAAAGATTGACGGTGTCCCTGGCGCACTGTCAGCCTCAGCTCACAACAAACATGAAGCATGCACCCTATAGTTTGCAATGTCAGGACAACCAGCACTGCCTTTATTTGTGCAAGCAAAAGACCTTCCCAGAACCAGGTTCCACTTTAACTCTCTTTGTCGGAGCACTGGCCTTACCAGCTTTCAGTGTAGCCAACAAGTCCCTGGCATCCTGAGAGAGCTCATACGTGTGAAATGTACGTGTCTTGGGGATGGAAGGTTGCAAAAACCCTGCAAGTTCTTTCAACTACATGGCCAAACCCCAATCCTTCAAAGCTGTTGACAAATCCGTTCCACGTAGATTCAAATCCTTGATCACCCTGGAGGCGTCTGCACCGTCCACCATGGTGCCGCATGACCAGGCCCGGCTCTCCAAAGTGCGCGTTGACATGTCGCTGGTGGTGACAAAACAAAACCCAAATCCTGTATAGCTGCAGGAGCCAAACCAACAGGATATCCTTTGGATCTACATGGTGTCACACAGAATATGATTGCAATTCCACACCTGTTTTGATCTCCAAAGGTGTTGAACACGATCTCGTACAAATTTCTGCTTGGTTACCTTTTCCGATCAGACACAGCAACAGCCATCAAATTGTCCCATAGATCACGGAGGAACGCCCCCGATCAGCGAATTTCATTGCACTGAAGGGCTCTATAAGGATGCAACCCGAGGTATGCACGCTCACAATTAATAAAAAGATGAATCTAGTCCGGACAGTTTTCGGAAAATATTTTACGTAAATTTTACATAAATCTGAACGTAATGTGAATGCAAAATGAACGTAAAGTGAACGTAAAATGAACGTAATCGAACGCTTTTGGATTTCGGAAACTTTTCACGATTTCGGAAAAAGTTTGTATATACAAAAATATGCAACATTTTTATGTAATTTTTACGCTCTTTTTTGTCCATTGAACTTTATGCATATTTTACAGATTTCTGGTCTCCACCAAAATTTCCAAAAGTTCCCAACATGTACCAAATTGGGTCCAAAGTCACCAATTGTTGGTAAATTGCGGAATGCAAGGAGTGTCCCTGCCCCCAAACCAGTGCATGGAAACTATATATGGATCAGAAAGGTGTGAAATGGATGGAAATGAATATAGTATTTGTGGTTTATAGAGTCAAGCAGCATAATACATGGAGACTCACGACCATTTCTCATCAAATGTATTTCATATATAGAAAGGGTTCGCATGTGGCACCATTCGGTGGTACAGTGGTATACAACTGCATGCGCTGTAAAACTTTACCGCGACATGGTTTGTGTTCATTTCTATACCAGGCCTGCGTTGTTGTTCGCTGCGTGGTTTGTCACGTTTGCTTTGACTCGGGAAGCCTACCACCAGTGCAAGTCAACAATTGATTGACTCCCAGCACCCTACCATCCTATAGTTGCCGGTCGGCATGGATTTATTCCGCCTGAAGTATGCCTTGCTGCTGTTTCGATTCTTGGTGTCAGGGAATTGCATCGCTGCATATCCTGTTGAAAGATAAACTTGACAAAGTATATACAGCTCGAGGTTTTAGTGGTGAGTGGAACCATTTCAATATACTCCCAATTTCCACAATGATTTATGGGGCCTGCAATCATTTCACCAAACTTATTTGATTATATAAGTTTACAGCATCCACTGGCTTGACACCTCAAGTTCCATATACCAGGATATATAGGGGATGTATACATGTAAAGGAGGTCACAACGCCCTCGGGATTGCATCCTTCCAAAAAGTTGGCATATCTAGGCTCTTGTTGCCACGAAGGTAGACCACTACATCCTTCAAATTGGCTTCCCCCCCAATCTTCCCAAGCTGCAGATGCCAGTGCTTGGTAAGCAGGCACCTTTTGGTCAAGGGCTTGAACAGGTGGTAGCCCTTCGCCCTGGCTGGCAAGCTCCGGCATGAGCTTGGCAATCTTCTTCCCAAAGAGCCGGGGATATGTCCTGGGATGGCCGTCGAGGAGTATAGTATTGCACGAATGGTTGGTGACTGGTCGACGCATGCAACCCCTGGCTCGAACACGGCAGGCTGAATACCCAAACCTTTCAACCTGGTTGGGAGGGGTTGAGAAGACTATACACTGGGATCGAATCGATTGGTTGTGGGGGCGTCATACCCATGGAGCCGCTCCAACTCATTCTCATGTTACAACGCAAAGGAAATGAGGTATATTTACCTTAAGAAGTGCACGCATGCAATAAGGTCTGCATGAAATATATATGATTTGCTGAAGGCCTTTTCGGTAACAAAGGCACTCAACATGTTCCCATGCTTTTTGTTTGCACTGAGTGTGCTCGAATTCACAAAGAAACCGTACCACCTGCAAACATGTTGGGCCAGGGTGCTGAGTGGATTTCAACTGCGAAGTTCCCTGATACCCACCGTTCGAAGTTCTCTTTGTAGTCTTCAGCGTAAGCCCCAACCTGGCTTTATCGACCTTTGTCAAACGACCCATGCAAAACTTTGCTGTAAACCTGTTGTTCGAGAACATCTTTTCACGTTTCGGGCTCTTCGCTCCGTAGTGGCCCATCCACCATGCCACCTTGTACACCTGGGCAAGCGACGGGAAGGCTGGGGCTTGGTGTCATCGACGTGCGCCCTCTGACCAATCCCGCCACGCGCCAAGAGGTTGGGTTGGCCTAGATGGTCATGGGACATGTATATAAATAAACTATATAAAAAGCATCCTTGTTGCCAAACCCTGTGTTTGAGGTTCAGGGGTGTTGCACGGGCCCACAAGCAAACCAAATCCCTGTGAAGGTGGTGGATTCTCAATGTTTTATAGCTATAACGTCAAGGCACTCTGAGCCTTCTGTAAAGCCAGACCATACGTTTGTAGTGCTGCATGAGTGAGGAGCCAGGGGTCTCCAAACCAAACGATCCACCCAAGCATGCAGCTAGAAGCATGCAAAGAACACTCCTGGCGGAACAAGAAAACCGTTACCCGCACATCAAAGTCAAACAACTGAAAACACTCCCACATAAACGACAAACCCTGGCAAAACCCTTCAATTGAATAAGAGAGCGATACTTATATAGTCTTTCACACAACAAGTCGGTCTACAACTTGTATATGTCCTTGCCAGCAAGGCATTTCCTTGTTGAACTGAATGATGCCGTTCTTGTCCATCGGGTAGCAACATGGATCTCCGGCTGGTTCCAACATTCATATGCACCCATGTGCTACAAGGTGTACCCAAAAGCAAGAAGAACTTTCCATACTCGCAATTCAGGATCAGCCAAACGGCAATCCTCATGCGTGCTGTGTCAAAGCACTATACATGGCACTGGTCGCTGCTTGACAATGACAAGAGCGCAACAGAAGTTGCATGCACATGCATGCATGCACTGTAAAACAACTAGGTCTCCTACGCAAATCCCGCTGGAGATAAGAAGTCAAATGGGTTTTTCCTGTTCTCAAAGCCGAAAGATTTACCGAAATCCCACTCTTGGGCAGCCCCATTGTATGAGGCTGAACGCACTTCAGCAAAAGCATTCCCTTGGCCAGCAAATAGTTCGACGTAGTGCAGTGCCTGCGTGCCAGAAGTGAGTGAAGACTTCGCGTATAAAAAACACACCTCATTTCCCATGCACGAACAATAACATGTGTTGCTTTCAGGCCCCATGTTGGTTGGGTCGAGTTGTTGAGACGCTTTACCCAAGGTCTCACAAGCATAAGGCATATTGTGCGTGCAGACTTTTGCCCCCTTTGCCTAGCCTTGTCCAAGGACCCAAGATTCTTGGAGAAGTACACGAGGATCACGATGCAGATGAAGGCCTGCAACAAACGGCTGTGCGTGTCAATATTCCCAAATATTCTCAAAGCATTCTCAATAAGGTCCATGCAATTTATGTTGGACAGCTTTAACTTTGGATACCAGGCGCTTGAGTATATTGTGGTCACAACTTCCGTGCATGACTCTCTCCCACAACTTTCTGTGTTTATGCGAGTCAAGACTAACAAAACCAAAACTATACCTGAGTGGCAAAAAAAGTATATGCGTGCAGGTCTAATTCAAGC